TGATATACATATTCCAAGATGTATGTTACTCCAAGATACTGAAAGCACTGTCTTGGCCTTTAAAATCTGTGCCTGGATCATCAAGAAAAGCCATTGCTCAGTATGGAAATTTTAAATCTTAAAAGCTTAATTCCGTCTTCTCTGGGAATCTTGTCAACTCTGTTTTAAATATTAAAAATAAATAAAGCACAGTCCTTACAAATTGTTATTTTCTGATCTTTCTCTATAGAAAGACAACTCAGGGCGGTATCTCAGTGGTAGTGGCAAACTCTTGTGTTGCTATTGAATCAAATACTTTATCATCCAGTCCACTTGACCAGAATAGAATTAGCTTGCTGGTTTTTCTCAAATGTAAATATTTGCTTTGGTTACATAATGTTAATAGAGAAGGTCACATATTCCATCAGTACAATGAAAAATTACTTCTCATTGACCCAGGAAACTAAGCCTGAAGGAGAGAGAAACCAGACTGAAAGTATTTGAGATGACAACTCTAGCAACCATCACTACCTGCCTTGCCTCAAGTTCATGTTTCACTCGAGTTACACCAGTAATTCCCCTAACGACTTGTGTGTTCTCGGAAATCGAGTTATCATCTTTGATCCTAAGGACAAACACTTGCTGTTAACAGCCCTAGTGTCCCCCGGGGAGGCAGGTCCCCCCGCCATGTGACTCTGCTTCTCCCATGGGGCAGCCGCCCATCACTGCCCATGTCCATGGCTGATGCTCTAGAAGCCACTGGTTGCTCGGCAACAGCCCCTTATGATGGCTCTGCAGGACGTGCTAGGCAACAGCTCTGGGTGGGACCAGCCTTTCCCAGAACAAGCCCTGCTCAATGCTGGGGGGGGGGGCGGGTGACAGGAGCCAGGCCTCCTGTGTCTCTGAATGACAGAGGATCCACACACACTCTACACCCTCCTTTCTCAAGGCGCTCTCCAATCGTCTCTGAACAAAAATCAGAGCAGAGCTAATTCCCACCCTGAAGTGTACCCAAAAAGGATCCTTGACTGAAACATTATGTGTGCAGACTTAGAGAAACTGACAGAAAAACAAAAGCATCAGAACCCACATCTGACTACATCTAAATATTTTAAAAGAAGGCTATTTCTTATTAAATCACATTTAAAATATGACTTTCAAAGCTTCAAAATTTCAAATTTATGATTTAGCTGTTCTTGGTTTGTAGATGAAAAGTGAACAAAACAGAACTTACGAGTTGAATCACATGCTCTTATGGCAGAACTATACACACAATATTTGAACATATATTCTATTCCAGTGTAGCATTTTATAGGGAAGGCCTTCAGTTCTTATCTGCAGTTAGACCACACTTAGGTCTTCAGTGTCAACATCTCCACATTCCACAGCCTAAAACTCAAGCAACCCTAAATGAGTCAGACTTTCCATCCTTATCTGACCTATACCTCACAAGGCAACCACCAAGTTAACCAATCTAAGAACTTATCCACCCAGAACAAGAGTCCAGCCCCGCCCTCTCTCTCGAAGGTCCTTTCCTCCAGGCAGGGAAGAGGCATGGACCCAGAGGGCCAGGACTTCAAGCCAGCGCTCCACAGTACTGAGTGCAAAACCCTCAGCCCAATCCACCCTGCACGTGCTCCGCACATTTTCCAGCTCCAGCCCCGCCTGTGGCTGGCTCAGGGAGCACACACTCCATTATACGGAATTAATCTCGGGTCCATAAACACCTCACACACCCTTAGTCTCTTCCTGCTGCCCAGCACGCATTCCCCACTGCCGGACAAACTGCTGGTTATTTTTCAAGATCTAGCAAGAGTACCCTCCTCTAGGCAACCAACCCTAATTTGAAAATGACTCACAAACGCATCTGCGCTTGCTCAGCTGTGAGTCGTGCTACTCAGGTGACTTTGGTCATGCCATTTCCCAGTCATTTGCCTACCCTAGACTTGTACCACTTCAAGGACTCTGGCCCTGTCCTGCTCCGCTTGGCTTCTGGAAACAGCACATTCCTTAGCATTAGGGGGTATTTAAACTATAATTTATCAATAACTAGAGAACAGCACTCCTAGGAAAAATTGTCAAATACATGAGGATTTGGCATTTTTAAAATTTTCAACCTCTTTAACGTCCCCAGAGGCCATTAGCCTATACAGGGGATGGAAAGTAAAATAAAATAAGGGACCAAAATCTAAAACAAAAATTCTCCTGACTCCCGTGTTTGTTTTCTTCTTCTTCAGCTATAATGAATCATTAAAGGGTAAAGAATCGAATACCCCCAGTGATGGACTCCATCAGCAAGAAGACTAGCTGATGAGATGTCCACCCGCTCCTCGTGTGTCTGGATGAAGCCTGGGCCTCACACACGCTAGGCAAGGGCTCTATCCCCGAGCTGCACCCAGCCCTTGCTGTCACTGTAATCGCCACAACATGAACTGCAAGGGAGCTGCATGTTCAGGTAACCCGGTCCCGAAAACGGGTCTGGATCCGGGCTCAGGGAAGGAAGTTCCTGTGCTGACCAGCAACTCTCCAAGCGAATTCTGTTGTCCCGTTTACTCAGGGATCCTTAGTGCAACTAACTCTGGGCGAATCGGATCTTAAAGTAATCAGAGCTAACTAACAAGAAAAAGGCACCTGAATTTCAAAAGCTCCTTGCAATTCACAGCACAGCAGTCGCTTACCATCCTCCCACCAAGTTCTAGCTGAGAAATTAGCTAGGAACAAACCAACCGTGCTCAGGAACGCAGAAGCCCAGGGGAGCATCCCAAACCCCTCGACCTTTTCTCTCCCCTCTGAGAGCTGGAGAGACATGGAAGCCTCCAATTTCATGTTTTCCAGAACTTAATTTCATGCACATTTTACGTAAACATTCTGCCATACATGTTTATATTAGCAGTAGTATGATTGTGCGAGTTGAACCACTCTGCACAAATGTATAGGAATTCTAACCCATGCAAATCTGAATTATTAGCTCGTCTATGTTGAGGACCATAGAATTCTTACTCCACTACGAGCTTGTGGGTTCATATACCGCCCAGGCTGTCTTGTCTGCACTGAGAAGACAATACTGCCACGAAGACTCGGCCGTGTGCCAGAAAGTATTCACAATCACGTGACGAACTTTATCTAGGGAATTTAACTTGATAGGGTATATCTCAAACATTATTTGTACATTAAAATAAAACATTTTAAAATAGAATGCAAAATGTATAGAAATTTCTAAGATGAATAAGAAATTTCAAAGAAACAGTCTTTTCTATGAAGAATTTTGCCTCTGGATTTACTTATGCCTCTAGATTTCTGGGACTTCTTTGATGGAAAAGAGTGAGAAGCCTTTTCCTTGGAAGTCCCCCGAAGTTTGTATGAATGAGGACACTTCTTCATCAATGCATTCAGACACGCATACACGGCCTTAGCCCTAGACTATCACTGCCACATTTAAACTCAGAAAGTACTATCCCACCGAGATATAATATTACTTTTGTAAATTGCAGTTTAACCTTTATAACATCATTTCTATTTTGAGTTTAAAATCTTTCTCTCATCAGTATCCATCTCAAGGCTGCAGGTACTGCACAGAACCAGTCTACACCCTGGCTCATGATTAATGCAGCCCGCAGATGAAGGGATCAATGGTCACAAATTCCAGCGCTGTACTGAGTGCAGGGAAAAGCGCTGGGCCTCAGACAATCACTAATCATCACAATAAAACCACAAGTGCACACTGTCTCTATGCAACAAATAAACTAAAAATGCAAAGGATAAACAAAACAAAACAAAACAGTGAGTAAGCAGGAGAGCTGATGTAAAACCAGGTCTGACTCCAAAGCTTCTGCTTGCTTTTTCTCTAAATACCACTTTGGTCAAAAAACCACTGACATAATTCATACTGAGTTGCTGCAAAGCAAATTCCTCCAATATTTTACTGGTTCTTTTAATGACCATTTCCCCTTATTATCTAAAAATATAAATCACTCTGTGCTTGTGCTCAGATAAGCCCGTCAAAGTAACTTCTGCCTCACGAATTACTGGTGACCCAGTCCCCTAGGATACTCAAGAATGAGCACTACCTACACACTCAGGCCACGCCTTCCTCCCGGGGTACAAGGCCCACCCCTGCCGTCCCCCACCGTGCCTCCCTGCCCCTCACAGGCCCCCCACAGCTCCCCCCCTCCTGTGGTGTCTGCCTTGTTGTTCTTGTTGCTCTCTTAACTCTGAGATGTCTTACCCATTCCTCCTTCGCGGACCATCCCAGTTTTATGTCCTGTACAGTCTTTCTGAGTAGCCTCGGAGCTTCTCTTTCCGCTCTTTGAAACTCCCCAACACTCTGTTGCTTTCTCGGACACCGTCACACTCTGGAAGGACCGCTGAGTGGACCATTTTCCCTCCCCTCCCCTCCGACAGACAGACGGACGGAGCTGCAGGTGCCTCACAGAGGAGACAGGGGCTCCGTCCTCCTGTGTGCACCGCTCACCAAACCCAATCCCTGCACCCGGGAGGATGCTTTTTAGTAGGCATTTGTTTATTTGATTTAATTAACTTTTCATCTGGAAGATACATGTGCTGAGATCTATAATTCATTAAAAACTTTTAAAGCACTTTTATAACCACCCTCAAGCATGAACCCGGAAATGAATGGTACATGTGGCATTAAGATGCCATTACAGGCTCTATCTAGAATAATACAGGTACTTTTTTCAGGGTCCTGATTTCCCCATGAAGAATTTAAATAACATCATTCATACTGATAAAATCATGTTGACACAATCTCAAGAAATCAAAGGACTTTTTGGGGTCACATGACCAATTAAAATCTGAGTTGGTTGCACAGCGAAGTTTTTGGTTTCCAACTGAATGATATTTTTCTAGTGTCTCCTAAGTGATCTGCGATGTGTTTTCTCAAACGTTAATCTGCAGAAACAATTATATAAGGAGGAAAGATTCCTTTTTTCTTATTTCCCTTCAAAATATTATTTGAATAGGGAGAATCTAAAATAAAATCCATTAATTCAAGAGCCATATACTGAAGGTTTACATATACAAAGCTTACTTATTTTGCAACTTTAGCTGCAAAGAATACAGCTAAACTGGGATATGAAGAAATACTGCTGTCCCACCAAATAACCATCGTGCGAACGTGTATGCTAATAATGCTCGGGCTTTCCCCATAAAGCAGTCCCGAGGGCTTCCCCACGCCTGTCCCTAGCCCTGGTTTCTGTAACCCGTTTGTCACCAGGCTGCGGCATTTCCACTGCTCCTCTTCTGCCTGGAGCTTTCCCTCCGCCCCTCTCCCTCCGTTTGAGCCTCTTGTTTCCAAGAATGATGTGGAGGCCTCCACCTGACAACTGGAGCTGCCCCTTGTCCCAGAGACAGGACCGCAGCTGCCCAGAGCGGGCTGGGGACAGTTTCCCAGCCACAGCAACTGCGTCCAGGACAGGCGTGTGTGGCAGCTGCTGCATCCTGGAACCAGCACCAGAGCTACTGGGCGGATCGCACTGGTCTTCTCTGAACTTGCGCTGACCAGTTTGTCTCGGAGCTGTCAGGAGCAGGGGCCGAGGAGGAAGCCCAGGTGAGGAAGAGGATGGATGAGAAGGAAACTGGGTCTCCGTCAAGTCATTTAAACTCCAGGCACATGACTGAAGGCTGAGTATTTCCGTGAGATGGACATCTTCCGCCTTATTCCAATGTGATGTGGGTTGTGTGCCTTGCGCAACTGTAATACTCCCAACAGATGTGCTCCAGGGTGTCTTTCTCAGCCCACGGTGGATTTGAAGGGTCATGTAGAAAGACCGGAAATAGTGAGAGAGACCATGTACGTTAGACAAAATAATAGTGCACCATACAAGCAAAGATGAAGACAGAGGACTTTCGTGTTTATGTGTTTTTGTTTTGGGGTTTTCTGTTGTTTTGGGGGGAGTTTGGAGACAGGGTCCCTCCAAGTGGTCCTGGCTGCCATCAAACTCTTCGTGACCTTCCTGCCTCAGCCTCCTGAGTAGGTAGAATTATAGATTATAGTTAGCAACTGATTTTCAGAAAATTGATTTAAATTTTCTAAAATGTCAAAAGTGTCCAGCCTCTTAGTGAATACCTTACTCCACACAGAACCTGAGGAACAGTTCAGTCCCAGGAAAAGCGGGAGTCTGCCAGGCTACCCGGAAGCACCCGGGTCTGGTGGTGGTCTGCGGAGATGGCAGGGTCAGGGCACTGTGCTGAGGGGCTCCGGCCGGTCGGGAGACCGGGGGGGGGGGGTGGAACCTCCCGGACCCCGTGCTGAGGAGACAGAGACCGGCTGGCAAACGCCTCACTTCGAGCACTCAAAGAAGGAAGGGGTGAGGACAGGTGGCCTGAGCAGCAGCACCACGCCCAGTCATGGTGCCCTCCGCCTGCTGACTAGGACGGAGACAGAGCAGTCTCAGAATGTGAGATTTTAGGAAAGCCACCGTGCACAGGGTGACGGCCCAGGGCGCGCAGGCTGACACGGCTGGACCGGTCGCTGTCCCTGGGCACGCGAAGTCCCCAGCTGAGCATGAGGTCGGGAGGAGGACAGAGCCCTGCCTGTCTCCGGGCCCTCAGGAGGCTCAGACTGCCCAGGTGCCGGGTGGACGACAGAAGGAGCAATGGCAGCCACGGCGAGCACCGAGTGGAGGAACAGCGGCTCGGGAGGCACAGGAGCTGTAGCAAACAGTCAGTTTTCCAGAGAGACAGAAAGCCGTGGTCAGACAGGCGATACAGATGGAGCTGAGGCACGCATTCCCACTCCACAAGGGGAATTTAGGAAGCTGGGCGCTACACTGGGAAATGGATGTCCTGGTCCTGCTGCGGCTGGGCGTGGAAGACAGATGTGGATCAAGAAAGCTCAGGGAGTCAGCAAGGACCCTGCAGTCATGCGCTGCAGCATGGGCAAGAAGGCCTGAGGGTGGAAAGTCTGGCCCCTCACAACGGCCAAAGAGTCACAAGGAAGGTGGGAGCTACAGCAGGTGCAGGGGTGAGGGGACACGGATGCTATTTCAAATCAATGGGGAAAGAGTAGTTACAGAACAAAGGAGCTGGACAATTCTAGCCATTTTCTAAACAGTAATGAATTTAGGTGCCTACTACATTCCTTACTAAAATAACTTCCAAAAGATTAAAAATTTAAATAGATATAAATGTCATCAAAAAGACTATAAACAAAGAGAGATGAGTATTTTTCAAACTTCACAAAGTCAGAAATTACACGAGAAAAAATTGATGGATTTGACATCAACACCCAGAAATATTTAGTATTCTACAGAACAAAGCACCTCAGTGATTTAAAAGAGGAAGCAATTTTAAAAGGTGACTCAAAAAGTGCAACTAAGAAACACACAGAATTACTGTGAATAAAAATCTCTCACAAACAAAAAAGATGAAAAATACGCAAAGAACACAAAATTGCAACTCATAAAATAAATCCAAGCATCCAATAAACATATTGGCTAATTCAAAATATTCAGGCTGACCACCTCAAAGAAATAAAAATATGAGCTACCTTTCCTACTGATTTAAACATTTTAAATTTTGAAGCTGTATTGGTATATTAGTAAAAATGTTATTTTGAGTGTAAAGTACACTGGCATTCTGGAAAGAATTTGTGCAAAATAGATCAAAGCTCTTTTATAAATTAACATCACTGATCCAGCAATTCTATGTCTAAATATTTATTCAAAGGAAATAATCAAGATATGTGTACATATTGTATAAAATTATGAACAGAGTTTTCTACTATGATATTGTTTTACAAGCCCAACGTGGTAACATTCTGCATATCTAGCAACTGTGACTCCTTTCACTATTTTAGTAGAACACTATGCATCCCCTAAAACTATAATTTATTCCATTGGAAAGATACAGTAAGATCACTTATTAAGCAAGAAACAGGGCATATGGCCTGATGTCATTTTTGTTTCTTAAATTGGCAGACCAACAAAATATGAGATTTTATCTTTTTCTTAATAGGATTCTGAAATTTTTGATTTCCATTCCAGTGTATATTTTCTCAAAAGCACTACTCCAGAATTAAAAAGTTTTTAAACGGGGCTGGGGATTTAACTCAGCACTTCCGTCACCTGCCTCGCAACCACAAGGACCCGAGTTCGATCCCCAGGCAAAAAAAAAAAAAAGTTTTAAACGCTTGGTAAAGTTCTATGGGACTGGTGGTGTCTGTCCAGAAAGTAAAGCATTAGACAGCTCAGCACGTTACAGCGACAGACAGTTGGCAAGGGCTTGGTGGGGAAGCCAGTTTGTCTTATTTTCCCACCTTGGCTTCTTGGTGAAAAATTCACATAGTGAGTACATATCATGCTCAGAGAACTGCATTCTACACTGAAATGTTGCCAATAGCTAAAGCAATGTATTTTTCTGGTGTAGGCATTTTTAAAAATTTTATTTTCCTGTATCTGTACTAAATGAATGGTTACCACAGGGCACAGTGATATCAGAATGCACCGTTTCAGCAAACTGGAAAATGAGCCTTCTCATATGTTTAATATTTGCAATTTTATGTACCCCAAAACTATTTTATAGGACATTTTATATAATAAGTAAAAATGTTATTTCTTTTCTTTTAATCTGGTGTTATTGTTGACTTTTATTCTGGAAGTAGCAATTTTACCAGGAAAAAAGTAGTATAAAAATATATATATATATATCACTAGTATTAAAATATTTCCTTAAAAATGTGCAAAGACTAAAAGATAACCAAAATTGAAACAATTAATATTGGATATTAAAATTAAAATATTTAAATATACTCAATTATATTTTATGATACAAAACTTTTAAAGTAGTTACGGCTTGTGCTTAGATGTCCGCCCAAAGCTGCATGCAGATGAGGTGGGGCTTTCTTTTCCAGAGGTGGCTGAATCTGGAACCTGTGATTCTGGGGTTCAGGGGATGGGATAAAAGGGGTAGAAAGCCACTGCTAGGTCCCCTTGCTGCCTTTGCTGCCTTGTGTGCACCGTGTCCTTTCTCCTCTGCGACGCCCTCTGCCATTCCATCTCGGAGCCAGCTGATTACAGACTGAAACCTCTAGGACTTCAGTGAGCCAAGTAAGTCCTTCCCCTTTGACTTTGGGTGTCGGGTATTTTATCTCAGCAAGGAGAGAAAAGTAAGGAACACAGAAGTAAACTAACAAATAAACATTTACAATCCTTATGTAAAATAATTTGAGTTGTCCTTACGCAGCACTCTATTGTACTTAGCCTTAATCTAGATTTCTAATGGGTCACATTGAGATAAAACCTACAGGAAAGAAGTGAATCAATTGACAATTAAGACAAATAAAAATTATTCACAGATAATGTGAAAAGTTTTTCAACAAGTCAATAAAATTATACTTTTTTAAAGTGTTCATAAAAACAAAAATTTGGGCCAGAGATTTGTCTCAGTGCCGCCCACTGCCTGGTTCGCAAGCGCAAGGTCCTGAGTTCCAACCCTGGTACCAAAAAAGAAATTTAGTCTAGAAACAAATCATTTTGTGGACCTTAAAACAGAGTCATGCTTAGGAAGACAGTGAGTAAGAATGTTTCGCAGTTTTTAAGGTTTGCAAGGCTTGTTCTTCACCTCTTCCTCCAGAGAACAGCCCACGGCCAGCCCCACAGGCTGGAGGGCAAAGGGCGCACGCCAAGTTCTGCACCCAGGGTGAGGCTGGCGAGCGGCTCAGTGAACAGTCATCCCACTGTCTCAGCACAGATGGCTATTTCCAGGGACGGAGTACTCTACCTACTCCCCTAAGCCTGCAAGCGTCTGCTCCAGGCGGCACCTGCTGCTCCTTAAAGCCTCCAGGGCCCTCAACCCTGGCCCCTCCTCCGGAAAGCGGCCCCAGGAGCAGCTGCCTTCCCTGTCCTTCCAGCCTCTCCCACACAGGAGCCCTTCAGGCAGAAGAGAGAACAAAGCGTCTCTTAGAGGACAGCCCCCTTGAGCCTCAGTCTGGCCCCGCTCCCCAGCTCTCCCGTCCATCTTTCCCCTGCAGTCTGGGAGAAGTTCTCAACCCTGGCTGAGTCCATTTCCTGTTTCCCATTTCCTTCTTCCTCCTCCAATCTAACGCCTTTACTCTGCTTTTCTTCTTGTCGGGTGGAAAGTTCTCTCAGCTAACCTCCTGCTATTTCCTTTCATGACTGTGGCCCGCGGATCCTGCCACAGGGTGCACGCCTCTCTACAGGCATTGTTGCCCTGACGATGTTCTTCCTCTCCTCAGGTGTTTCCTCCTGGGTCCCAGGGAACTCATTTCCAGGCCCCTGTTTTCTCGGGTTCCCCTCTCGCCCCGCGTGCTTCCCACAGCAGGTCTGGTCATGCACTCACCTCTGCATGCCAGTGTCACCTACAGCCACATCTCCTGGGTGTGCTCCCCGACAGCCTCCTGGCTGCCTCCCCACTGGTCTTTCCTTATCTCCCTGACACCACTGTGTTAGGGTTCTAGAGCAGCTGGGATGACCTACCACAAACAAAGGAATCTGTCTTCATATAGTTCAGGAGGCCAGGGCCAAACACTCGGGATGGCGGGACTGGTTCCTTCTTGTGGACGCAGAGGGGAATCTGTTCTGTGCCTCATTCTTCGTCATTACCAGCAAACCGTGGCACGCTTGGCCTGCCGGGCACAGCCCGTCTGCACGGCCACATTTCCTCCGCCCTCTGTGGCCCTTCTTAGGGGGAGCCTAGTTGTACTGGTTATGGTCCCGCCCTAACCCGCTGACCTGTCCTAACAGCTGCACCTGCAGCCACCGTCTTCCGCCGCAAGGTCGCCTTGAGGGGCGGGGAAGGACATGAATCTGGGGCGACTACCCGGGACCCACCAGACCCGCTCCTCCTTCCCCTTGCCCTGTTCACAGACAGTGCCTGCTCCCAGCTCCCATCCCCAGCTCCTCTTTCTGCACTCCGACACTCCACTCCTCTCCTTGCGCTGCCCAATTCACCACTGCAGCGCCTGTCAAATTCCCCTGGAACCCAGCATCCGGGAGCTTCGCGGCTAATGCAGGTGTGGACGGCTTTGTGCCGTGATTGAAAGGCACGGGTGATGGATGCTGTTTTCTTCTTTACCCCCATGCGCAGGACTGGTGTGGACGTCCTTCCAGCGGGAGGAACTGAGAGGCAGGTGGCTTCTGAGGAAGCGTCAGCCTCCGAGCTTCCTCTTTTGGGGCGACAGCTGCTTCACAGTTTCCCAATAAGGGAAGCCTTCGTGCCTACAGTGTGCATCTTACTGGACTGCAAGTTCTCACCTCAGCTCTTTGTGATTTGATATCACACCTGGCTCCAGAAGGTCCACCAGAGAAGCACTGATTTGCACCAAACAATTAACAAACACAATAAACTAATGTACCTGCCCAAGTTGCAGGCACCCTTATTCACACACACACACTTATGCACTCACTCTTTAAATGATGTTTTCTTCTTGAGCCACATTATCTCGGCCCAACAAAACTAGTCTAGAAACAGGCCAGGGATTTAGGCTCATGGTTCCACCACCTGCCTCGAAAGCACAAGGTCTCGAGTTCGATCCCCAGTACCAAAAAAAAAAAATTAGTCTAGAAACAAATCATTTTGTGATCCTTAAAACAGAATCATGCTTAGGAGACACTTCCCTCCTCCTCACCCTCCATGGTTTCATGCCTAAGCCCCTCGGACTGGACCTCCACTTCCCCTTTGTTTCACCCTCAGAAGGGAAGTCACGCCATTAGCCCTGCTGTCCCCACACCTCCGCGGAAATGAGGCTTCTCCTCCCTCGGTACAGCAGCGGACCCTAGGCCCCCAAGGACAGGGCGGGTCCGGGCGGGCAGCCAGGCCTGTTTCTGCTGTCTGCGGGGCTCCCTCACACACTCATGCAGCTGTCCTGGCCCCAGACCTTCTCGTCTCAAAGCACAGGCAGCCCCTGGGCCATCATCCTTGTCTGAGAATTCCTATTTCCAACTATCCCGGGCTCTAGGAGTGATCGCCTCCTCCTAGTCGGGAACCCACACAAGCCCAAAGTGTCTCACTCTTGTCTAGACCTCTCTGAACCCCATTCTCCAACGAAGCGTCCAGCTCTCAGCTGCTCACAGGAGGAGGGGTGGGCAGGGACACGGAGCCACTGAGAGTCACCAGGGACACCATGCAGGACACTGCTGTCTGCTGCCAAGCGCAGACACAAGCAGAGCAGTGCGTCTCACTGGGGTAAAAGCAGATTTTCTCAAAATCACCTGTACTTCTAAAAGAAGAAAAAATAGTTGGTTTTATGGGTATGTACAAGTGCTTAACCTAGAATTCTTCTTATGTAATGTTACTGATAATGACTTGTAAAAAGTTCATAGAGCACATGAAAATGTTTGAGACCAACAAGATTTAGAAAATGCTTACCAATGGAAGAAGTTTTAAAACGGGAAGGCTGGAGTCCTGGATTTATATCTGACATTTGGATTTTGTATGTGTAATCACTGAATCTTGGGCCTTATATCTCCACATCTACCTAAAATGATGTGTTTAATTATTTTTGAAAAGAATTCTATGGCATCATGGCTCAGGGAGTTTATATTATCAGGGGATTGTTTTTTGATACTCAGAGGGAATGATACTTTTTTCTAGCTCAACTAAAATTTTCCACTGCAGGAATATAAAACCCACTGAATTTATGTCAAGACAATGGCTCTCATCAACTCTAAAAGCACAATTTTCAAACTGCTCTTTCTCATTTCGTTTGAAAAAGCAGTCTTGATTAAGCCTGATTCGCTCTCATTTAGCATTAAAAACATCACACAAAACATCTTACTCAGAAACACTGCAAACATCTTTTTCAAAATTGTTTGCTGTACTTGAGCTCCAAATTTGAAAGGATTCAACATGTTTTCTTTCTCAACCCTCTCTACATACATAAAAAATCATATATGATGCACTAAGAAACATTTATTCCTCCAGAATTTTCTACATTTTGTAAATACGCAGCTTCTACCAGAAATCATTCTATGATGTTTTTCAAAAGCTAGCCACCTTCATGGCATAACCAAGAAACTCCACTGCCAAGTGTCTGCCTAGAGCAATGAAAAAGTATGCGCTCACAAAGATGCACACAATGGGTCAGCAGCACGACAGAAGATAGCCCTCCGAGATGGGAACATTCCAAGCCCCCGCAGCTGGTGAGTGCCATTGACAAAATATGGTATATCCATACCACGGAAAAGCATTTGGCAAGGAAAAGGAACCAAATACGGATACATGGTGCCCCAGCAATGCGCCTCAAAGATACTATGCTAAGTGAATGAAGCCGTAAACAAACAGACAAAATACTCAGAAAAGACAAATTCTATCTCAAGAGACTGAAATGTTTGCATGGGGACAGTGACTATAAGTCTGCACGAGGAGCATTACAAAGTGAGGAAAGTGTCCCAAAGCCAGGTTTTCCTGGTAATTGGACAACTGGTGAAGTTTCTAAATCACTGGAGTAACTTCTAAAACTCATCTGCCTTTGAAAAGGGAGACTTATATGATACGCAAATTTGTAAATTCTACCTCAATAATTTTCTAAAAAATCTATAGTGCAAACTGCATACGAATTTAAGTAATTATATTTCAGACTATTAAATTAATTCCATTATTGATCTAAACATATGCTTAAAACAGACTAAGGGGAAAATTTAACAAAAATGAAACAATACTTTTTAAATATTCTGGTGAAGGTAGCCATGTAACCTTTGATACTTTCTTGAAGAAAGTCTAGCAAAGACTGAAGCAAATTACTCAAATCATTTCCCCTACCAAAAAAAATTCTCGAAATAATACCTTGCTTCAAAATGGGACCATCCGAGCTTCCAAAACTCCTTTTTAGAAAACGAACTCGGCGATGCTGGGCAGGGGCCGGACCGGAGCGCAGCCCCAAAGCGCGGAGGAACCGACCCCACCCCAGCCCGGGCGGCGTCCCCGGCTGCGGCCCTGCTAGGCCGGTACAGCGAGGCGCCTGCCAGGGGCGCCCTGGAGGCGGATTTCGAGTCGGATGCTGCGCGCCAGAAGCCGCGGGTCCCTTCCCTCGGGTCGCGGCTCCCGAGGCGGGTCCGCACTTCACCTTCTAGGTGAACTCTCCTGGATCCTCGGCCTCCAGGGCCCCGGGCCTGCACGGTCCCCGGGCCAAGGGCTCGGTCCCGGAGGGCGGATCGGCCCAGTGCGCTGTGTGCGCAGCTCCGGAGACGGCACCGACTCTGCGGCCTCGGACGGGGCTTGCGCCCGGACGCGTAAGGCGAGGTCGTGGTGCCCAGAAGGCCCCGCGGGAACCCTAGGGGCGGCCGGTGGCGAGCCCAGCAACCGGCGCGGAGAAGCGGGAGCCCGGCGCCCCCTCGCGAGGAAGGCAGCGGTGCGCGCTCCGGACCGACCCGACCCGACCCGGCCGGCACCCGGGACCAGCGCCCAGCGCCCAGCGCCCAGCGCCCTGTGCGTACCCGCTGCGCACCGATGCGGCCCCGCGGGCCGGGTTCCCGCCACGTCCCGAGCCGAGCCCCGAGTGCGCTCGCCGCGGCTCCGCCGTCCCCGTCCCCGTCCTGTCCCCGCTGCTGGCGGGGCCCGAGGGGCAGGGGCGGGGACGGGGTACGCGTCCTGGCCCTGTCTAACCGCGGGCGGAGGCCGAGGCAGGAATGCCCATCCTATCACCTGCGCCCGGAACCAGGCTCGCAGTCGGGAACAGAAGAGCGGATCCGGACGGCGACGCGCCCGCGGGCTACCTCGGGGCAGAGGAGAGCTCAGGTCAGCGCGTCGCAGGCTTCACTCCGGGGCTCTCGCTAAGGAAAATGAACCCGTCCTCCAGGTCCCCGCGCCCCAGAGCCGCCGGAGCGCGCGGCTGCGCAGCCCGGGATACAGAGCGGCTGCTCCGGGGGGCGGCGCCCCGGAACCCGGCTGGGCTCGGATTTCCGAAGCTGCAATCTCTCTGCGCTGCGCAGACCAGCGCCCGCTCCCCTCCCGGGCCGGGCTGCGCGGGCCGGAAACCAGAATCAGATCAATGCTCCTGTGATCAGGGCGGCAGCCGAGGGGCCGCGGACCGAGACGCGTGAAGCCCGCGCCATCGCCCACGAGGAACCCAAGCACTGCGTGCTGCAAGCATGCACGAGCGAGAACGGACTGGTACTCGGAAAGTTTAGATCATTTAAACCCGGTGAGGTAGCTAGAAAGAATACAAACTAGTTTTGAACTCAATTAGTAAGTCTTGTGATTTTTCTTAATGACGGCAGGGGCATATCGTGTTTTCTATGAAAATAGCTACTTATGTGGTCGTACAACTATTAATAAAAGACATGGAGGTTTATGTTTATTTTTAATATAACTTCAAAACTTATTTGGCCTGTTTCTAAGGCCTAATATTATTATATCATATGATAGTATACGACATTGCTATTATCTAAGGCAAATTATCCTAAAGCCTATTTATTTTAGGGATCCTATTATGAACAATCTGGTTAAATGTTTGAAGTTAGGAGCTACACTACCCTGATTGGACTTTTATGATTCTACAACTGAATTCTTGGTGTTCACAAAATTTGTTTTGTAAAAGCTCCATTTTGGGGAGAAATTTGATAAAACAATTAGACCTCACTGAGCTGTTTGTACACTCTGTACTGGCATCTTCAGGACCCCAGGGACCTGTGGCCGGGAGAGCTGTCTACTCCACCTGCACCCGCACTCAGCAGTGGCTTGGGAAGTAGCTTTTAAATGAACCACCAGTAACCTCATTTCTTCACGAAGGCAAAGTAAAGACTTACCGATGTTCTGTCGGCTTAGAGCGGACGGACTTTCGGTGGCCTCGCGTGGGTAGACAGCCTGGGGTCTGCAGCAGCAGCTGCGCGAGTGGCGGGCAGCACCTGAGCCAGGTGCAGAGCAGCAGTGCCGGAGGCCACGAATGGGCGGTGGCAGGAGTCTCACAGGATCACGTGAAGCTAGTTTAACCCCACGCTGGGGTGGGGTCGAGTGAAGGTGGGAAGAAAGCTTGCCCGTTCCTTTCAACAGAGTAGCTGAATTATGGGGTTATGAGGGTAATTTAAAGACAGAACATATGTGAAGGTTAGAAAAAAAAGAGCCAGCCGGGACTGCAAATGCCCCACATATAGGAGAGGTAGGAGAGGAAAAGGCAGGAGGCTGTCTGAAGTTTCAGTGCAGGAAGGAACCCACATTTCTGGAACAGCTGTGGGTGCGGTCAGCTGACTATACACTGAGGAACCGAAAACCTGGGGACTAAAGTATCCACGTGGGGGTTGAAGCCACCAACAAGATGCCACGGGTAACAGAGGACTGAGGGGTGGCTGTGCCACGTTGGGCAAGGCCCCACCCAGGGGGGAAGAGCCTGCGGTGTGGACCCAGGTGAGGAAGAGCGGTTTAAACGTGCAATCCCAGGCAGCCACAAGGTCACCACCGCTGCCCTCCATGATCCTAGCGAGGGACACCGAGTCCTTTACACGGAGTGAACACCGAGGGAAAGCTTCGCAGCAGAAAGCTGATTTTTCACTTCAAGCCAGAGGTGGAAGAAAACTTAGCGAATAGTTGTGTGCACAGTGAGATCTTTCAGTACTGAGCAGCATTCTGCAGGGTGTGTGTGCATAGGTACAGGAGGCAAGACAGCCTCTCAGGCCATCAACAAGCCTCTGCCCCTCAGAGGGGCCCCTGCCTGCTAAACGCCCTTCTGAGCCGGTCTGGAGACACTTGGTCATTTTCTAACAAAGAGACCAGGGATTTTATCTTGCACTAGGGTCTGAAGATTGCAGGCAAAACCACATGGAAGAGTGCAGAAAGGGACACATGGGCCAGGCAGGAGGCTGAGCAGGCCTCCTGAGATTAAAGTTGGGAGACCACATCTGCAGGGAGAAGAATGTGGGCCGGCTGACTGAGATCCAAGCAGGAGAATTTAAGACGTCCCTCACAGCCTACTCCATGTCTTTACATACGGGCCTATTCGTTTCTTACAGAACTGTAACAAACAGCCACAGAGCTGCTGACCAAACCCAGAAGAATTGTGGTCTCACCCTCGGAACCCAGGAGTCTGAAATCCAGGTGTTGGCAGGGCGAGCTTCCCTCTGAAGGTGTGAGGGGAGAATTCTTTGTTGCCTCTTTAGGGTTTTTGGTAGCTAGGGGAAATTAATCCTTCATGCATATTGGCTGTAAGCAGTGTTATTCTTACCTCTGCTTTCACCTTCCTGTTTTTCCTGTTTCTTCTACTGTCTGTGTTTTCTGGTCAGAAGATTTAGGTACAGCCAAGCAATCTATGATGACCTCATCCGGAGATCATTACCGTAATCACATCTTCAGAAATGGTTTTATCCGACAAGGTCACATTCACAAGTCACAGGGACTAGGAGTCAGACATCTACTGGGGTCCCACCATTCAGTGTACCCCGCTTGGTCTGCTGAGCCCACAGGAGTGACCGAGCTGGATGAGCCTGGCAGGTGACAGCATTTCAAGTCTGTTTGGCAAACGGAATGTCGTAGTAATATGAAGCTTATCAGCATTTCCAACGCTTTGCAAGCATCAAATCTAATGCATAGGAGATTCTGAAGGTTAAAACTTTGCGGAGGCTTTACATCCCTAACAGTAGCTTCTTCTGTCCCTGGGGACAAAACCTGCCCAGGGGAGGGGCCTGGTACCTGAGACAGCCCCACTCTGGTTACACGGAATTCAGGAAATAGGATTCCCCACTCTTCCTCCTCACCCACCTTCCGCTCTACAGGATATGTACGTGGTGCCTGGTCCAAAAGCAAAGTCTGTGGGATGATTGGATTTCATTTCTCACCGAAACATGAAATTTAGAAGGGCTAGAGTGGTGACCTCATGCATTTGTGATATTGAAGCTGAACGAGTTTCTCAAGCCAGGCGTGAAAGAACACAATCTTAAAACACGTAGAGAGGACAGGAGGAAATGTTAAGGTCAGAGCTAACTGTGCTGCTCCGTTCTCTAGCTGATGGGCGCTCAGAATGCTCAAGTAGCTGCCCGATCCAGAAGGACTGCCCCTTAAGGCTCAGGGCCAGGATTTAGCTCAGTGGCGCTGCACCAGCCTGGCAAGTGCAATGTCCTGTGTTCGATCCCTGGTACCAAAAGAAAAGCACACTGCACCAGTCCATTTTCCCTCCTGCTAGAGACAGAACGGGAGCTGTAAGTTCCCTCAGAATTTTGCGTGATTTGGCCAGTGAAGACAGGGAGGATTCAAATGCCTGATAATTTCCACAGGACACCAGATGTTGTGGTTTTACCTGATTGGTTAGGTGATGGATACTTTTCTTTTTTATGAGAATTCTTACTTCCTGTCTTCGTTCAGCATGTATCCTTTTGAGGCTTTCTGCTCAGGTTTGTGAAGTAGGATTAGAAAGAAGTCATTCGTCTGGGCACATCCTGCTCCTCTTCCATTGTTCCAGCGAGAGGATAAGTCCCTGTCACCCCAGCTCAGCGGAGAGCCAGTCCTTAAGTCTGCAGATCCTGCTCCACAGAGTCTCAGTAACCGCTCAAAGCTCACACATTTGACAGGTGTTCAGGACTGAATGAAATGAATCATAAAGAAAGCAGGAAATCTACTTGTAGAGAATTTCGTGGATGACCTAATTCTGAGATATCCAGTTCTGTCCTCAGCTCTGTTCCCAGTGATTCCGGTGGCCTTTACTCTGCACATCTTCACTTTCAAATAAAATGGCAATGAATATTGGCACTCCTACCTAAGATGAAGTCGTTTTCACATTCCTTTTGAAGAAGGACAGTCTTCTTAGGATTATATTTAAGTTCGATCTATATTTTCTTTAATACTTTTAAAATTATGAATGATACCGATAAAGTATGCCTAATCAGCACGGGGCTGACTCTAAGGCACACTGGAATGTATTTGGTAAATGATCATCGCACGTAATGCTGAGGCTGCATCTCACAGACAGGAAAGAATAAAAAGTGTTTCTCAGTTTAGTGGTGATAATCTCAGCTTTCACATTAATTAAATGATCTCACAGAGCCAGACTGGCAATGAACGCCTCAGTTTTCCACAAAACTTCTCTAGAATTGTTATTTATAAACAGCCTATGCCCATTTCTGCTGTAAAAACATGTAAAGCTGCTTCAGCCAACTTTTCTCCCACCCTGACCCTGTTCACGTCAAGCTACCCAGGGCGTCCAAATAGGAAAGTTAAATAGCACTGAAGCACGTGGGCTAGGCACCGCTCACCTTAGCATCAGCACCGGAGGAGAAAGCGACCTCCACACACTCAGCGATAATCAAGATTATCAGCCACAGTTGTCCCTGAATATCAGCGTTCTGCGGGGTATCGTTACAGGCTCTCTCCACACCACGAACGATGACACCGCCCGAGTTTATTGGAAGCATAGCCCTGGACCCCCGTCCGTAATTCCTGAGTCACAGCTGTTTAACAGGATGTGCGAGTGAGTTGTGCAACATTAAAGGCTGAGAAGCACTATTGAACTGCACCCCTAACTCTGTGGTTAATCTCCAAGTTTGCTCTGGATACACCGAGCTTCCCGTACTTCAGAGGGGCAATTCCTGCCATCGGTAATCCCCGGATGTAGGCTAATCCAATTTCTGTGGTGGCAAATGAAATTTATAGGCAAAGTTGCAGATAGGAGAGGGAAATACTGTGGAAAATAATCCCAGGGAACAAGGCTATTTCTTCCTGAAAATGGGTTCAAGATCATTTAACTCTGAATCATCAATGTATATCACTATACAATATTAAAAATGCAATTCCTTCATGATTCTTTAATGACTATAATTTTCCTCAGTTTACTCAAATCCCTAATTTAAAATAACATCAGTTTTCATTGTTCAGATTAAAAGGTCAGATGAAGTTATTCAAAACCTCAGTAATAGCAGAAGTTTTGATCAGAAAGAAATTCGAAATGTTATTAAGTCAAACCACCTCCTGTTACATTTAAAAAGAAGTGATTTTCCAGAAAAAAAATTATAGAACTTGTTATTTATCCTCTCTACAAATGATATCCTGTCAAGCTTTCAAAGGAAATTTATTATTAGAAAAGACCACATATAGGGCCGGGGATTTAGCTCAGTGGTGCTGCTGCCTGCCTCCCAAGCGCAAGGTCCTGAGTTCGATCCCCGGTCCCCCCCCCAAAAAAAAAGAAAAAGAAAAAAGACCACATATATGAAATAATATTAAATTGAGGATTTTCCCCCCTCACAGATTAAAACACACAATGGTGAAACAGTCACATTATAAAAGAATTGGTGATGAACATGGAAAAGTGCATTCACATACATAAATCCAACTGCATCTCTGTGCACACAATGGTGCAATACTTGAGTTATTCATGGAGCGATAACAATAAGATACACAGTACTGTAAGATGTTGACATGTAACCTTTTCCATTCTGTCTTTTATTATTATAGATTTGTGATGCACACTAACTCTACACAGCTTGGGGAACTGGGACACACACACACTGCATCTTGGCAATGTTTCCTTCTGTCTCCTTCCTTCCCTAAATCTCCTTCCTACCCCAACAAAGTCTATCTTGCTCTTTCCTATTATTTTTCTTTAATTTTTCTCTTAAATTATTTTCATTTTGGATTTCTCTTATAAGAGGAAACCATGCAATATTTAACCTTCTATGCCTGATTTATTTCACTTAGCATTATGATCTCAAAATTCATCCATTTTTCTACAAATGACTTGACTATGACCCTCTTTACTGCTGAGTAGTACCCCATTGTGTTCTTCTATGACATTTTCTTTATCTACTCATCTGTTGATGGGCATACAGGCTGCTTCCATCATTTAGCTATTGTGAATTGTGCTGCCACAACATGGCTATGCAGGTATCCCTATAAAATGATGACTCTAACTCTTTGGGGAATATACCCAGAAGGGGTGTAGCTGAGTAAAATGGTATTTCTGTTTTTAGTGTTTTGAGGGATCTCCATACTGATTTCCATAATGATTGTACTAGTTTATACTCCCACTGACAATGTAGAAAAGTTCCTTCTTGGCTGCAACTTCCCAGCACCTTTTTTTAATTCCTGATGACAGCCATTCTTGCTGGAGTAAAATAGAATCTCAGTGTTGTTTTTTGTTGTTGTTGTTTTGGGGTTGTTTTTTTTTGTTACCAGGTATCGAACTTGGGACCTTGCACTTGCCAGGCAGGTGGCAGAAGCACTAAGCTAAATCCCCGGCCCTCTCAGCGTTGTTTTGATTTGCATTTCTCTAAAGGCCAAAAATGCTGAGCATTTTTTCATGCCCTTATAGGCCATTTGTACTTTGTCTTTTGAGAAGTATCTATTCATTTCACTTGCCTATTTTTTAATTGGATCTTTTATTTGGGGTTGGGGTCTACTTATTGTGGAAGGCAGTGTTAGCTATGAAGATTTCATTTTAACTTTGCCCTCCACTGTAAAGGACAAGATATCAGCTCTGGGAATACTCTGTCCCTGCCAAGCCAAATGCTTATCTTTAAAGATTGTCCTGTG